GTAAAATGCTGGTTACCAGGGGCTGAGGGTGGGGAAAATGTTTGTCAAAGAATACAAACTTCCAGTTATAAGATGAATAAGTTCTGGGGATCTGATGTACAGTATAATGATTATGGTTCACAATATTATATATTTGAAAGGGACTAAGAAAGTAGACTTTAAATATTCCCACTGTAACAACAACAATGACAAAATGGTAATTATGTGTGGTGAAAGATGTGTTAACGAACATGATTTTGGTAATCTGTTCACAATATATAAATCTATCAAATGATCACATTGTACATCTTAAACTTACAAAATGTTATTTGTCAATTATATCTCCATAATGCTAGGAAAAAAGATGAGCCACTTAAAGATGAAATTCATTCAACCAAGAAGTGAGCCAAAATAAAGAATTCAACAAAATAAAAATTACTATAAAAGCATGGGTAGGGATCACTGAACTCTGTAAAACATATGTGAATATTACATACCTTTGAGAATCATGGTTAGGGCTTATTTACATAAAAAAATCCTCAAATTCAATAGTTCCTTTTGTAAAGTGAGCATAACTTTAATAACAATCCTATGAAAGATATAGTAAGAAAGAAAATCCCTGAGAAATTTAATCAGAAAAATCAAGGATAATGCTCTAAATAAAAAGATGGCCAAGCAACCCCAGAAATAAATTTTAAAAATAGTAATAATAAATACTCAGGTGTGATTTAATTCAGAATAAGCTGATGGCTCAGTATTAACAGCTGTCAAACTAAAAGAGGAAAACTGCCTGAGTTAAGAAAATACTGTGCAACCCCTTTTTAAAAATATATATTTTGTATTGATTTCAGAGAGGAAGGGAGAAAGAGACAGAGAAACATAAATGATGAGAGAAAACCATTGATTGGCTGCCTCCTGCATGCCTCCTACTGGGGATTGAGCCTGAAACCCAGGCGTATACCTTGACTGGATTGAACCAGGGACCCTTCAGTCTGCAGCTCAATGCTCTATCCACTGAGCCAAACCAGCTAGGGCCCATACAATTCATTTTTTAAAAAAAAATTATATAATTTACATGGTAAATTATATAGTTATTCACCTAATATCAGCAGTAAAATGAAGACACCTACAACCATTCATATAATGTCCTGTCTCGGTGAGATGGTGTGATGTGTACACTAACTCGTGGTGTATAGGAGAATAGACTGTCACCATCTTTTCGAAAAATAATGTTAGTAACTACTGAAAATTTAAGTGCGCATACTTCTCAGAATCTCTCCTTAAAGATTAAAAATGTAAATATACAAAAATTTATGTTGACCAGCATTTATAGGAGCAGAGAAATTGGAACATCATTTCTAAAAGCAGAATTATTGCATTCTTGCACATCCATTCAAAGAAATACTAAGCAGCTATGTAATGATAGCTGGTATGCCAAAAACTAAAAGGGGTGTCTCTGACCTCCTGGGCAATGGAAAAATGCAGGATGTGGGGTAATGTGTAATAAGTTGATTCTTTGTCAGAATCTAAATTTAATAAGACCTCCTGCTGGTTTGTATGTACATTGAATTTGAGAGGCCCTGCTGTGTCTTAAAAACCTCATACTCCATCCAGTACAGAATTGTGACAATCCAATACAGAATTCTCTGTGTTGCAGAAGAAAAGAAGTAAGATGGCAGTACTAGCTTGGGAAGTGAGATGGAAATTGAAAATAAGAACATTTACAAGATGAAGCTCCACTCTCTTGCAAAACATCAAAACATTCAGATGGTTGCACTTCAGTGAAACTACACTGTGTTTCTATTTCAGGTCACCATCTTCTCGATAGTTTCTATTGAAATAACTAATTATGGATTTCTAGGGCTGTTAATCTGCACTATATTGATCCCGCCTTTCACACTGATTGGCTCTCTATTAATTTTCTCAGAGGTAAGAATCTCACTCTTGTCCCTTGGTCATGAAATGTGTGGCCATTGAAGGCAGCCTTGAATATTGTAAAAATGTAGGTAGATTTTTCAGTTGTACAAGGTTTGAGGTCTCTGTCTTCTGAAAGCCAATTCACTCACCATAGGCAAGAATCATGTTCTCATTCAATAGGAAAGCCTGCCTTGGTTTATGAAGGTCAAAGGCAACTCCACTGTAGTAGAACTTCATAGTTCTCATGATAACCCTCACTCCTAGGAACAAGTATCCCAACTGAGAGGCCAATGAGATGCCCTTCTTCTGTAATTTTGGACATAGTAGGTTTAAGGCTCCTCATGGACATGCAATGGGAAATACCAAGTAGCCAGTTAGATATATGAGTCTGATATTCAGTATCAGGGTTTTGAGGATTGGGGGGACTTAAAGCTAACCACTTGAGATTCCTCAGCATGTAAGTGATATTTAAGGCTCTGGAACTAGATGATACAACCTACAGGGTAAGTGTAAGGAAAATACAGCTCATGGACTTGGCCTTGAACTCCAAAATTTAAAGATTGAGAAGGGACTGTTGTGTGCCAGGATCTATTCTCAGAAGCTCTACTTAATGACATAGAGGAAACCATATATAAGGATGTACATCAGTTTCTCCTAGCAGGGCGAATCCTGCCAACTCACAGTGTTTAATATAAAAGCATTGGAGCCTACAGCACGAGCACAGGGTAATAGGTCACTGAGTGACATGGGAAGCGGGGAGGACACACTGCACAGTCAGAAATTGACTTTTACCTGATACATGAGCAAGAATTACGTAGAAGGCTGGCAAGGTCGTGTAATGGGCATTGAATTGTCTTAAGTGAGATGAGATTCATGCACAGAGGAGGTTCATCTAAATACACCTTTTTCTCACTTTACAGGGTTCTCCTGACTTGGTGGAATATTTAGGAGCTTCAGAGGAGTATCTGCCGTATCTGGCATTGCTGATAGTAAGAAGACATTTCCATTTAACTGTTCTTGCATGAGGAGGATGCATTTGTATGCTTTGCACTAAATTAAAAATTTAATTTTGGTGATTAAAAATTTGGCACTTTACACATTTGAACACACACACACATACACCCCACCAGAGGCTTCAAATTCTGCATGACTAACTTTATAATGATCGTATGAGACTGAGTATGAAGCCCAAACTCTCACTGGCATGAGCAGA